AACAAGTGTGCATAATAAGCTTAAATGAGGTAAGTTCTCTACCTTTGAAGCACAGCACAAAACAACCACAATTTCAGGCTCAAACCTCCTTCCGAAGCTCAAACTAGGCTCCAAGGGACCTCAGCTCCAAGGTGGTCAAGTTTGGTTAAGGGTTAGTGTGCAAAAGTATAGAGAAAACTAACTAGAAAGCACAAAACAAGAAGAGAGAGAGAGAGAGAGAGAGAGAGAGAGAGAGAAAAAACTTTGTTCTAAAATGTCTAACCCCTCCAAATGGGTGAGAACACCCTCTATATATAGAAAATCAAGGTTTAGGCTTGAATTCATCCTACTATACACGTGTATGAAGATGCACTTCGGTGAGCAACATCTGGCACAACTGGCAAACAAATATCTTAAAAAAAAAACAAATGGCCGTCTGCCACTATTGGTGGCCGTTGGCCACCACAAGTGGCTGACAGTGCCTAGGGCTAGCCGACAAGTCCCCCCCCTACCAGGCAAGAGGCAATAAGCCCTTGGTCCAAAAACAAACACAAAACAGGCAAGTTTTAGAGGCTCAAAAACAAGGCGTTCCGCCGAGGACTTTGGGTGCTCAAAATGAACACAAACAAGCACAATCATCAAGTGTACCAACGATGACGTCCAAGTCTTGAGGACGGTCAAAAACGGGGTGTCTACAGTCCAGAGGTTTGTAGTTGGCAGATTCTTGGCCCAAAGGTCGGTAACTTGCAAAAGCTTCCATGACTTGTATAAATGGAGGTGGATAAGCGTAGCCAATAAATGCATTAAGGTTCTTTCGAGGTTTGTAATTATCTTCCAAGGCCTCCTCGTATGCTTGATCAATGTAAGAGAAGGCTTGATTGGTCATTAGAGATGTATCAGCCTTTTCGTATACACAAATAATGGAATTGCAAAGCATATGAATTTGATGAGGTTCACTACTTCATGGTTCAAAAAAAGGGTTGCAGTTCCAGAAGAAGCAAAGTCCATGCACCTCCTAGTACGTGGGCAAAGTGCACTGATCCTCTAATATCACCAAGTATTGGGTATATTAGTGCGGGGGGTAATGTTGGCTGTATATTTTGTAAAAGCCAATCACAGCTTGACACATGGCACTTAAAGGGCAATTTGGAGAGTTAACACAAGTCTCTAATCAAAGGCAGACACGTAACAATTCATATTGGTAGTAATGGATCTACATAGCATTGGAACAGTCGAAGGCGCGAGATGACGTGGCCTAACGGTTACCTACAATTCAAATTCAAATTCAAGAGGGAAGCCTAACTGCAGGAGAGGCGTAGTGGAAACTAACTAGGTTAGACCAGAACTAGAGATCGTAGAGGTGCATTTCGCTGGTTAAGAAGGCCCCTTCGACGGTTACCACTAGAAAGTATAAATAGTAGAGAAGGCTAAACAGAGAGACCCAGACTTAGATTCAGAAACCAGTTTATTTACTTCATTTTTCTTTCCAATTTTTTTGCATTTCTAGCACTTCAATTCCTATACTGCACTTCATTTCCTAGGAGTAGTTTCGAATAGTCTGTTGCTTTGAACCTCTTCGAGGCTGGGTCAGTGTAAGTCCATTGTAAGTTTTCGTTTACTTAATGAAATTCAGGTTATAAAGCTGTTCTGCATTTGTTATCATTTATAAGTTTCTCCTAAAAGCAAAGCCACCGCTGAAAGAACTTCAACATAATCGTCTGATAATTGGTTGGTAATTAAAAATTTTTGTAAGGGCTAATTGATCCTTGCTGGAACACTTAAATTTACATCATTAACCCTCGAAAGCCAAAAAAGCCAACAATTATATTTGAAAACTTTACTTATTTTCTGTAGATCTCATGTTCTTACATCTAATGTTTTCACTTATATTATATAATATAGTGATCTTTACTTTCTTTGATTTAATGAGTGAAGCAATCACAGTTTTTGTTTTTTTTCTTCATATCTGCTTTCCATTTCATGTGAAACAATCATAGATTTTTTTTTCTTCAGAGATTCACCTGCCAAAAGATAAAAGATTCTTCCTTAAATCTCGTTTTGTAGGGAATGAAAAAGAGAGGCAAGGGCTGGTGGGTTCGGAAATGGTGGGGAAAGGGTTTGCAACTATGGCGCCTCTCTTATTCTCTTCTTCTTCTTCGATGCTTCTCCTTCTTATTCTCATTCTCTCCCTCTCTCTCTCTCTCTCTCTATGATAATCCCCTATTTGAACTGAAGAAAGGTTTTTTTTCACCAAAACGACATCGTTTTGATGAAGGAAGATCTCAACCCTCCACCTCTTTAGTGGGATAGGTGTCACGTTCAAAACTTTCACTGTAGAGGATCACTCTACTATTTCACTCTAGAGGATCCTGAAGCCTACCGTTTGCTGGTTAAGAGACTAGCTAGATTTTTTTATCATAAAAAAGATTCTTCTCATTTGAATAACACGCCATATGTACTGAGTTGTTTGTTTTATTTTTACTTATTTGACTTACACAGATATCACGTGTGTCAATTATTAATTTAAATAAAAGTAATGCTAAAGATCCATATTTGAGACTCTCAAATACATTCTGAATGATGTGGCAAGGAAGTAGAGCCCCCATATAATTGAGTATGTGATAAATCAAAAGTTGACAACTATCATTTCACATTATTATTGGTAAAATTGTGAGAATTTTATTAATAATCTTAAACAGTTTCTTTTAATAAAGGCAGGCTCTAACAACCACCTATGACATCCATCAAAGATCTGTTGGAAAAAATCCTTATATGTACTATATATAAGTAGGGCAAATTACAGTGGTAGTCCCTGTAATTTACCTTTTTTTCATTTTGGTCCCTGCTATTTCAATTTGATTAATTTTGCCTCTGAATTTTACAGATTGTGTCATATTAGTCCAATAAATAACGGCGGTTAAGTTTGATGGACAGATAATCATATTATGTTTCAATTTGGTCCTTGTAGTTTACATGATGTGTCAATTTGGTCCCTGTTGTTTTAACTTTCCTATAAACTACAAGGACCAAATTGAGACATTCTATAAACTACAGGGACCAAAGTGAAACATCATTTGATTTTCCATCCATCAAACTGAACCACCGTTATTTATTGGACTAATATGACACAATCCGTAATATTAAGAGACAAAATTGATCAAATTGAAACAACGGGGACCAAACTGAAAAAATGGGTAAACTACAGAGACTATTTGCATAATTTACCCTTATTTCTATATGAAGTTCGCACTAATGTCAAGAGTTTATTGCCCTTTTTTCTCCCATTTATGAAGAGATTGCTTCAATTATTATTGAATTATGCATTTCTATAAATATTATTACATTGTCGAATCATGTATGTTATTGGAATAGTTTCAAAATATTAATAATTAATTATTACCTAATCAGAATAAATTATGACTTGTGTCCCAAATTGAAATGATTATTTGATAGTCTTATTGCTTTACACCATTTATCATTTGGCACTTGCCCAATTGTTCCTCAAAATATTAATAAAAATTTGTTTTAATCAATAAATATCAAGTTGCATATGGATGGTGAGGCAAAGGCATTTTACTTCCTTGACTCATAATTTACCTTAGTATTGTCACCCTCAATCAAAATGGGACATATGATGTGGCTTGTGTGGGATGAAATAATTATAAAAATAAGAGTTTTTCTATGTTGCCTAGGTAATGCCTAGCTAATACTTTAGTATCATTCCCAAATTTATACTAGCTATTAGATTCAGATGAGGAGAGAATTCAACCATTAATTAATAATGATTAAAATGGGCTCCAAATGATAAGGTGATTAGGGGTGTAAAAATAGCCCGCAGCCCGTGAGCGGCCCGAAGCCCGCCCGCTGCCTGAGGTGGGCCTGGCCCATTTAGGCCCGCTTGGGCCCAGCCCGAGCCCCTAGGCTAGGACCTGGGCCATCGTTTTGAAGCCTGGCCCATCAGCTTGCTTAAGGCCCACTTAGGGCCTGACCCGAGGCCTGGCCCGCCCAGGGCCTAGTGTATTTTTTAATGGAAAATAATAAAATTTTGGTAGAAAAAATTTAAAAAACCAAAAAAAATATGGTTAGACCCACCCAAGGCCTGAATACCCCTGGGCTTAGGCTTGGGCCTCGACTTAATTTTTTGGCCCTTGGGCCAGCTCGATAGGGCCCAATTTTGGCAGTAACCCGCGAGGCCCGACACGGGTTGGGTCGGGCCGGGCCAGATTTACACTCCTAGAGGTGATTTTTAACCCCCCCCCAAAAAAAAAAAAATAAAAAAAAAAAATGGAATCAACCTACAATTAAAACTAATTTTAGTTGTATTTGTGGGATTCATCACAAGTTTTATTTTGATAATGTAAATTATTAATTTTTTAATGTAAATTATTTTTTTAAAAAAAATAATAATAATGGATCCCATTAAAAATAATAAACGTTTTTCTTATATATTTGTTATTTTTTTATAGCATCCAACTAATGAGATAAACAAGAAAGAATGGAGAGAGCCAAAGACCGTTCTATTTATAATCGTTATTTTTTTGGTGGTTTGTCTTAAGATTTGGTTTATTTTGATGTAAAATATATATTTTTAAATTTTTCAATATTTATTTGAAAATTAAAGCAAAATTTTCACCTTTTACAAGATCAACGTACTAAAAGGATCAAGTTAAAAATAAACTTTCTAAAATTTAATTTACAAAATTATTAATAAGTCATCTTTCAAACTATTTCTAAAATTATTTTTTTCCGTCTAACCAAACAACAAAAAAATACATAAAATAACAGAGCTTATAATTATAGAATTACAACATTTTATTACAGTAAACATGCCAAAATGACCACCATTATTGGAAATAACCTAATGCTAAGCTCATGCTACGTAGAGATACAGAAAATGAAAGCAATGAAAAACAACAACTTTTGTTTTGGAGTCAACTTGGGTAGGCAAACATGCTTTGAAGCTTCTCTTTCTCTTTCTCTCTCTCTCTCTCTCTCTCTCTCTCTCTAACTCTCCATTAACAATGGCAGAAAGTGCAATGAACTTTTTGCTCAAAAAGCTTTCAAGCTTGGTTGAAGAAGAGTTGAAATCATTGGGTGCAGTTCAGGCAAAAATTGTGTTCATCAAAGACGAGGTTCGGAGCATGAGTGCTTTCTTGAGAGTAACTGATGCAATTGAAGACACTGATCCAGAGCTCCAAACTTGTGTTCACCAAGTCAGAGACCTCACTTATCACACCGACAACATTTTCGATCGATTCACCATTCGTTTCGCTTCTCATCATCATCGCCATGGATTCTTCTATGAATCTGTGTACAAAATTTATTATCAAATTAAGAGCTTCAAAGTTCGTCGTCAAATTGTTTTTGAGATAAAAGACATCAAAACTAGAGTCATTGATATTGCACAGAGGCGTCAGAGGTACAATTACAAATTTAGTACCTTAGAGCAAGGCTCGAGCTCCAATGTGGAAAACAATGGAGGATGTTATGATTAAAGAGGTGCAATTACAAATTCAATACCTTAGAGCAAGGCTCGAGCTCCAATGTGGCAAACAATGGAGGATGTAATGATCGAAGAGGTGATGCACTCTTACTAGAAGAATCTGAGCTTGTTGGCTTCCAAAAACCCAAAAACCAACTCATTGATTGGGTCCTTGATGGTGATTCTCCACTCAAAGTGATTTTAGTGGTGGGAATGGGGGGGTTAGGGAAAACTACCCTGATCAAGAAATTTTATGAGGATAGGGAAGTGAAGAAATATTTCCAAAACCATGGTTGGATCATTGTTTCTTAATCATTTAAGATTGAAGAGCTTCTAAAAGATTTGATTCAACAACTGTTTGATGAAGTCAGACAACCTCTCCCTCAAAGGTTGGAAACCATGGACAACAATAAGCTAAAAGCAGTGCTCAAAGAGTTTCTTCAAGAAAGAAGGTATGTGCTTTTCTTTGATGATATTTGGAGCATATATGCCTAGGATGCTATCAAAATTGCATTGCCAAACAGTAACTATGGCAGTCGTGTGTTGCTCACAATGCGTATCGATAATGCTGCTTTTACCTCTTGTAAAGAATCCCATGGTTATATCTATGAAATGAAAGCTTTGTCTCCAAAAGAGTCTTGGACTCTATTTTGTAAGAAGACATTTTAGGAACAGGATTGCCCTTTACATTTAATTGAACTTTCAAATAGTATTTTAAGAAGATGTGAGGGCTTGCCATTGGCAATTGTGGCTATTGCTGGTGTGTTGGCATCAAAGGACCAAGGAAGGGTACATGAGTGGGAACTGGTGAATTGCAACCTCGGTGCTGAAGTTGAAGGTAGTGATATGAAGAAAATACTGCTACTAAGTTACAATGATTTGCCTTACTATTTGAAGTCTTGTCTCTTGTACTTGAGCATTTTCCCGAAGGATCATTTGGTTGAATGGATGAGCTCAATTCGATTATGGATAACAGAAGGATTTGTGGAAGTATAAGAAGAGAAGACACTAGAAGAAGTCGCTAAGGGTTACCTCCATGAGCTCCTTAATAGAAGCTTGATTCAAGTAGCGAAAGTCAAGTGTAGAGGATTAAATGTTGTCGTATACATGACCTTTTGCGTGAAATTATTCTTTCAAGGTCAAGAGATCAGAACTTTCTAACGATAGCAAGAGAAAGAAGTGTGAGGTGTCCTGAAAATGTTAGACGACTGTCAATTAATAATACTTTGCCAAAAATACCACAAGGCAAGTGTTTCTCTCAATTGCGTTCTTTACACTTATTTGGGGTAGATGAACCCATGTCTGAGTCCTCCATACTTTTGTTGTTCAATGATGGGTTAAGTTTGTTAAAAGTTCTAGACTTGAGAAATATTTGTTTGGAGAGATTTCCAGGTGATGTGGTCAAATTGTTCCATCTAAGGTATCTAAGCTTGAGAGGAACAAAAGTGAAAGCGCTTCCAAACTCGATTGGATTGCTTTGGAACCCAGAGACATTAGATCTTAAAAACGCGTATGTAAAGGAATTACCCGTTGAAATTCTAAGGCTCCAAAAATTGCACCATCTTTTGCTATATTGTAATGAAATTAGGCATATTTATTTTCCATTTCACCAGAAACATGGCTTTGAGGCACCATCTAAGATAGGAGACCTACAATCCCTACAAAAGTTATGCTTCATAGAGGTAAACCATGTCAACTGTAACGTGATAGTGAAAGAGATAGGAAGGCTCACCAAATTAAGGAGGTTGGGAATTTCGAAGTTGATGATAGAAGATGAAGTGGGTTTGTGCTCATCCATTGAGAAGATAAGAAACCTTCTCTCATTAGATGTAAGTTCAATAGAAGATGATGAGATCCTTGATCTACAATTCCTGTCTCCAACGCCTCAATTTCTTCAATGACTATACTTGAAAGGATGTTTTTAGAAGTTACCACAGTAGATAACTTCTCTTCAGGGCCTTGGGAATGTATGTTTGTGGTGGAGCAAGTTAAGTCATGATCCGCTGAAATGCCTTCAAGATTTGCCCAATTTGGTTATTCTCTGACTTGTTAATGAAGCATATGAAGGGAAGGGATTGTGTTTCAAGGATGGTAAATTTCAAAGACTCAAGCTTTTAGTCCTTGGAAGATTAAAAGGATTGGGATGGTTGACAATGAAGGAAGGTACAATGTCTTGACTTGAAGATCTATTCATCTAGAATTGTAAATTGTTAGAGGAGTTGCATTATGGTATTAATCATCTATCCAAACTTAAATTACTTAAGCTGACCGACATGTCTGATAGATTAATTTCTAAGTTGAATCGAGACATACAAGGTGTGGATTACTGTAAAATAGAACACGTCCCTTATGTATGGATTGGACACTCAAAAGATGGTCATTGGAAAGGAAGTTATCTCTAGAGAGAGAGCTATTATTTATTTATTTTTAATGTTTAATTGACTAGGTTGGATCATCATCACGTTTAGTGTCGTTTCTTTTTCATGTTCTTGTTAATTGATTTGGGGCTTTGGGACTTTGGGGTGTTTTTGGTTGCTTTAGAGTCTATTAGGCAGATTCCAGTGAGTCATGAGCTTGGGTTAGTTTCACTTGTTGCAACAATGGGGTCTCTGGAATTCAAGTCTTGAACCTGCAAAGTAGTAGGACTCAAAATGATAAAAGTTTCAATAGATGGTGATGCGCTATTGATGCAATGTTACATATTGAGGTTGTATAACTGTGTAGTGGTGTTTGGCAAATGTACTCATTAGTTTCAAAAACCATGTGGCAGTTGTGTTTTTTTATTTTGGTTTAGCTTTGTACTTAATTAGATCTACCTAATAGATTATATTACGTATAGAAGCTTGGTGTGCTTTCCCTCTTTGAAGGGTGTGTTTGGCTCATACTGAGCTTTTATTGTATATATCTTATTTTTTGGTATAAAACCTATGACTTACATACCAAAAAAAAAAGAAAGAAAGAAAAAGACGCAAGTAATTCATTTCTTTATTATTTTCCTTTCTCTTTCAAATCCAAAATTCAAACATAATATAAATGAAATGGCTTTTGCACCAGCAAGAGTTAGTAAGCCTATATAGATGTTTCTAATACCACAAAATAGGTTGTCTTAAATCTATACTAATCATAGGATCCATGAGCATGGTAGTCAGGTCTGGAGCTCCCATTTCTTTTACTGATGTCATGGCTCAGCAAGCAAAGCAATTGGGTTGATCGGTAGAAATTTAGTTTGATTTGTATTTGGCTGTTTTGCGCTCTCTTGTCACTTTGCAAACAACCTTGGGCGACAAAGGCCGCTTGATTGCTTTTCATTTCTGATCCATGGGAAGACAAAACTTTGGCATGAAAACGATTATATACTTAAATCATAGAGCAGTTACAAACTGCATTAATAATATTAATTGCTACCAAGCATCTCAGACACTAGAGGAAGCCGCGAAGTGAAGGGATAACAAAAGCATTGAAAAGTGTCATATACATGACCTTCTACATGAAATCATTCTTGCAAAGTTGAGTGACGAGAACTTTCTAGCAATAACATGTGAATTAAACGTGAGGTGGCCTGAAAAATTTAGACGCCGCTTGTTTGGGGTATTTGATCCCTTGTTTGAGTCCTCCATTCCTCTATTGTTTAATGGTGGGTTGAGGTTTCTCGAAGTTTTAAATTTGAGAGGTGCTTATTTGAAGACATTTCTGGAGAAAGTGGTGTAGTCGTTCTATTTCAGCTATTTAAGCTTGAGAGGAACGCAAGTGAAAGTGCTTCCAAACTCAATTGGAAAGCTTCAAAACCCAGAGATGTTAGATCTTAAGCATACGTTTGCGACAGAGTTGCCTGTTGAAATTCTAAGGCTCCAGCAATTGCACTATCTTCTTTTACATTATATTGAAACTGAGCATTTTTATTACTATCTGTTTCATTGTGTTCACGGATTTAAGGCTCCATTTAAGATAAGAGTTTTGAAACACCTACATAAGTAGTGTTACATAGAGGCAAATGATGTCAACAGAAGCACTATAGTAAAAAAGATAGCAAAGCTCACCCATCTGACAAGGTTACATTGTGAAGTTGAAAAGAAAAGATGGGATGGCTCTATGCTCTTCAATTGAGAATTTGAGCAACGTTACAATCTCTATCTCAAGCTCCTTGTTTTCTTTGACACTTATTTCTAAGAGGACATTTGGAGAAATTTCCATATTGGATAACTTCCCTCTATAGCCTTTCCACAATAAATTTATAGCGGAACAAGTTAAGGAATGATCCATTACAATCCCTTCAGGATTTGCTAATTTGGAGGAGTTGCCCTCAGGCATTGAACATCTATTCAATCTTAAATTTCTTGAGCTTAGTTACATGTCTGATAGATTAATTTTTAAGTTGAATCGAAACATATATGATGGGGATTATTGGAAAATAAAACATATCCGTAGAGTATGGATTGGAGGCTTAAAAGATAGTTATTGGAAAGGAAGATATCTTTAGTTAAAGAAAGGAAAAGTTTTTTTATTTTTTATTTTTATATATAGTGTTTAATTGACTAGATTGATCATCATCACGTTTAGTGCTGTTTCTTTTTCATGTTCTTGTTAATGGATTTTAAATTTTTTTTTTTTTCTCACAGTGATTTAGAATTTTCATTTTGTATCTATTTTTTATTTATTTATAGTTTGGCGGCTTGCAAATCTAATATGTAATCTCTTTAATTGATCCCAAAAAAATTATAGCAACTTTATTAAATTCCAATTTAGAATTGCAGTTGTTTATTTTGCAATTGTAATGATTTAATTTTGTATCTGTACGAGTTAAACATATCTTACTTTAATCTTCATTGATTTTCTGATTTTTTTAAGAATTGCCCTATTAATAAGCATTTTTAGGGGGCTAAATGTAATAACCCCGGCCCATGATTAACATATAAACCATGATTAATAGTGTTTAACAAGTCATTAAGGTGCAATTTTTGTGTTTATTACATGTGTTATGTACCATATGAGTTTCTATCTGTTCTGGGTAGGAATATTTGTCTCTGATTTTGTTCTGTTCTATGAATTGAAGGCCTTATCGGCATCCGAACATGAAATTAACTTGAATTATGTGTTCGTTGGATTTTTAGAATATTATGGTAAGTTTAATTGAAATTCAATTCGGAACGAAATAATTAGATTAATTAATGCTCATTTGCTTAGTTTAAGCCAAGATTAATTAAGTCAATGTAATGGGCCTATATAAGGCCACTCTCTACACCATTTATACACTTTGCACTCTCAACCCCTCATCTTTGAAGACTAAAACGTGTGAGAGTGAGAAGGGAGGAAACTTGAGCTCAATTGTAGAGTAATTGCTAGAGACTTGGAGGAATTGGAAGGAACTTCGAAGATTACACTTTTATAGTTGAGAATTCAAGCTTGAGGTAGGAATTCAACCCTTGGATTGTATAATTTTGATGCTTAAACCATGGATTCAAGAGAATTGAGTGGATTACATGAGAATTGAGCTAGAATGAAGAATATAGATAATATCATTACATGCATGTGCATATCATGAAGTTTTGAAGTTGTTTACGCAAGAACCTTCACATGCATGACCTTACCTTGGCTATGATTTCATCATTCAACTTGATTTTGAACTAAACATTTCAATTAATCATGGTATGGGTGGTTGAAGAGCATATCTTTACATGCATGTCATATTTTGGAAACTTTTAAGTTGGTTTTGAGCAATTCACATGCTTTTGGGCCTTGGTTTCAAGGAATGATCTTTAATTCACCATGTTTTCCAAGTTTATATAAGTTTCCTCAAGTTTTTGGCTCAAAAGACCATAATTTGCAGCTTTGAAATTGAGTTTTGCACCTGGCAGAGCAATCTGGAAATTCCAGATTCTGCCTCTCCCCTCGAGCGACAGATCCTGCGTTCGAGTGACCACTCTGTGTTACACCTCCACTCGAGTGACCAAAAGTTAGCTCGAGCGTAAAATGCATTCTCCCAGAAGTTCACATGTTTTGCAGACCGCTTGAGCGACAAGAGTTGCGCTCGAGTGAGGACCTGAGTCTCACGCTCAAGCGTCCGTCGAGCGTAAAAATCACACAACCAGTACTTTTACAGACCGCTCGAGCGAAAGAAGGTGCGCTCGAGCGACCACTCACATTTTGCATGCCAGTTCGAGTGAAAGAAGTTGCGCTTGAACAGGGCCCTTGTTTTCAGCAAGTTTTGTTAAATGTATTCAAGTGCGTTTTAGTATCCTCATTGCATCTTAGGCATTCCTAGGTCTAGATTAAGACAGAATAATGAGGACAAAAGTTAGAAACACACCAAGATAAAAAAGAACTAAGTTAATCCGGGTGTGTAATTCAATATGTATCCGTTCTATGTTTGTGTAGGTCACGCGCCATAGATGGTCTGGTTTATCTGCTTAATCTGTTCTGCAAGTGGATCCATCTGTGAGTAATAACTCTGTAAAGTTATGTTTAACTTTAAATATTTTTTGATGCTATGAAATGATCAGTTTTCTTAAATGCGATGTTTTGTATAAATGAATGATTGTCCAAATTTCTAAAATGTATTCGTGGCATCCTTAGCACAAGGCCCTTGCCCGGGAGTAATAATACCATGGTCTATAAGTACAAGGCCCTTGCCTGGGGGTAACAATACCATGGTCTCATGGCCCTTTCTTGGGGGTAATAATACTATGGTCTCAAGGCCCTTTCCCGGGGGGTAATAATACCGTGGCTCAAGTATGTTACAAGTTTCCCAGTACCGGTGGTTCCTTAATGGAACTGACAAGCATGATAATGCTAATGGATATACCATGTATGATTAAGCATGAACTCTGATTTATGTATATGATTTGAATAAGAATATGAATATGAACCTGTTTCTGATTGAAATCTGAATATGCATAAGAATCTA